TACATAAATTTCATATAAATAATTATTTTTATTTAATTTTCACAGGTAAATCAACCTGTGACCTAATTAGACACTAATGACTAAAACATATTTTGCAATAAAAACATCGATTGTTCGTCCAATAATCTCCCATGTAGGAACAGCCAGAATAATAAAATACAAAATGTAGGAATAGCCAGAAGACACCCTTTGAAATTCGTTTCGTTTAAGCAAGGACGCTAACACATTCTTATAAACATTCAAAAATAAAAATGAATTGAAATAAGAACAAAATTTCATTATAATAATGTTATCATTCCCCTCTTCAAATAGAAAACAACGTGTACAGAAGACTATAGGAACTGTATGTAAAATTTGTATAAGTTTCATCATAACCTTTTGGCTAATATGACCGTATTTGCACCATAAATGTAACTCCGTGTACAAACAAACTTGTGCACCTGGAAACGTTTTAAGGCATGGCAGGAACTAGATAATAAAGTTTTAAATGCCTTTCATGTTTTAGGAAATGGTAAACTATTCTTTATTTTGAGATTCCTTTGTTTTTGTTCCCGCAGAAGGTACCAAAATAAGTTTAGAAACATGTTGAGATGTTCCCCTATGTAAATAGTTTTAGCGAATTGAATCGATTAATCTTCATCACAACCTTTTAGCAAATATGGCCGCATTTACAACACAAATTTCACTCCGAGTATAGAACAACCTGTGCAACTGGACAAGTTTCAGAGCATGGCTGGACCTAAAAACATAAAATTCAAATGCATTTAAAGTTTCAAAATATTGAAAACTTAACTGAATTTTGCTATTCATTTTTTTTTTCAATCAGAAGGTGCCCAAATAAACTAAGTTTTAAAAGAGGTTTGAGAAGCTCCCTTTATATAATAAATGTTGTCAGTTGTATTTATTTACATGAACAATAGACATCTGAAAATTAAAAGGGGATTTAAACTGTGTAACTAAGTGGACCGTATCAAATAAAACTCAGGTGTTAGTTTATTTTGCTATCCTCTCCAGACTGGAAAAAATGCACATCAAAATACAGTTAAAGTTTAATTTTCTGAAATATAATTTACATATAACTTTTATATATCTAGGACCAGCCATTCCATAAAACTTTCCTGGATCAGTTTGTCTGTACTCAGAGTAGATTTTGTGGTGTAAACACGGCCATATATTTCAATTCCTTTAGATGAACCTTAACTGGACAAAAGATATCTGTACAACAATAGATGACTTAAACTGTGTACATGAGAGGACGATATCAAATAAAACTAAGGTGTTTGTTTATTTTATCAGCTTCTGCAGGCTTAAAAAATTTCGAAGAAATCGATTGATATGCAGCAAAGAATAATACTTTAGAAATTAACTTAATAAGCAAACTCAAACGAACCTTATCCTGATGTAAACATTGGATGTGAATAGATCGAGAAGACCTCAAATACATGTAACGAAATTTAAGGATGTCTTTTCGTTAAGTTGTACAAACAATAGCGCAAATCTTTCAACGGATAATCTGCTTTGTAAAATATATTTATCTTTAATTTTTGAGCTTACACAGACACACTTTTAAACTGTCATATTCACAAAAAGACTACATTCATATTTCTATTTATTTGACAAGAGCAGACCTGTGTACCCGAATACTTAGAAATGAAAAATATTTATATTTTTGAAAATTGTATCATTCTAAAGACTATGTGGTACACTACGAATATTGGCGACTGAAAGATGTTTAGATTTTTTGATTTACAGGATTTTTTTCATTTTGTTTTCATCAATATGCAGCAAAAACTAACATTCTTTAAATTTCAGATTCAAAAGCTTATAATGCAACTATCCCGATAAACACTGAACATATATTTATAATAACACAGTTTAACAAACACTTTCTTTAAAATATACTACTGTTGTTAAGAAATAACTTTTAATCAGTCACCGGCATTGCTTTACTATTGATTCTCTCGTCTTTTTTATAAGAAGAGTGACTTTTGTTTTGTGCTCGGATCATCGGTTTTGCTATTGTAACTTTACTTAGGAATAAAGAAAAAAAACTGAGAAAAACTTAATAAGAAATCTTATCAGATTGTTAATAAATAAGTAAACATATATATAAAAATTGCGGTTTTTATCCAACGCAATCATAGGATTGGACGTTGCTTTCAATTAAGACTTGTTTATATTTTCCCGTTTGGGCTTGTATTATATTTTCCTTCGGGTTTGTATGATCCGTTCATCCTAGTTCGACTCTTTAAAATTCAAGAGTCTATCCTAAATTGAGGTAAATTATATGGCCTTCCAAATACCGTTTCGATCCCTGACATCACTGAAGAGACATTAGTTGTCGAAATCCGGATATGGTGTATTTAATTTTTGCACCACATGTTTGTGGTAAACCATCTTTTCCACAAGTTTATTGTTTTCTGTTTGGTATTAAATTAATATTAAGATCCATTTTATACTGGTGATCAATTTATTTGGCAATCGCCAATGGCAGTCAGCAGGGTTTAAGAACATCCGTTGTTCGACCTGTTAGTCAAATGCGATTTGTTAAAATATACTTTTTCACTATTTTGGTCTTTTGGAAAATATTGTTTGTGCTGTATTTAGACCACTCTACCAAGAAATTTGTTTTACATGCACACGTATAAAAATTGCGGTTTTTATCCAACGCAATCATAGGTTTGGACGTTGTTTTCAAGTTAGACTTGTTTATATTTTTCCGTTTTGGCTTGTATTATACTTTCCTTCGGGTTTATATGGTCCGTTCATCCTATTTCTATAAGTGGTCAAATGACAATTTCGGTTATGTTGATCCTGACTTATTTGTAGATATTATTTTGCTGGTCACTTTTACAATTAACACTTTTCTTTATCTACTAGTTTCAGCAAAAATTTATCAACAATCATTATTCAAGGACAATAACTCGTATACGGGGATAATAGATGAATTTGGTCATGTTGGCTCGTTTGTAGATCTTTTTGTTCTGGTCATTTTTACTATTTAAAATTTCTTTCTAGATATTCATAACTAAAAACTGTGAATTTTGCTAAAAATTAACATTTATGTTGCAATTACTCCAAAATGAGGTTGTATTGACGATAAATATATCCAGACCTGCAGATTATTGTTAACTTATCAGTTTTGATCCAACTGCTCTATAGCTAGTTAGGAAATATGCCAAAAACTGCAGTTTTATCCCAATGTTGTTTTTTTAGAAGCGACTGACATACATCGATCGCATCCCCAGATAAAATTTTCAAACCAGTATTTGTAATGCAGTAATATTTTCATTGGCATTTCTCATTACAAACGAGGTTATTCGACCCTACACCATCATGTATGGTTCATTGACTTTGAATGTTTTGCACAGATAACATTCTAAAGTCTCGTCATTTTAATTTGCATAAGTCTATCAAAATTATATAAAGCCGAGAAATATGTGTCAACAGTCTATGTTTACTGTTAATTATGTGACAACATGTACCGATCTATTAAGCGACTGTCATACGAGTGAGAGGTTTAGCTAGCTATAAAACCAGTTTTAATCAACTATTTTCGACATAAGTTAATGCCTGTACCAAGTCGAAATATGACAGTTGTTTTGCATTCGTTTGATGTATTTGAGCTTTTGATATTGCCATTTTATAAGGGACTTTCCGATTTGATTTTTCCTTGCAGAACAGTATTTTTGTTATTTTACTTTTTACACTTTTCATTATTCGCAAAAACAAACTTAAAGTAAAACTCGTCATTAAGGGGTTATTACTCGCTTAGGATACAACTTATGATGTCAGTCATACTGGCAAATTTGTAGACCTTGAATTCCTAATAATTTTCGCCATCAAGTTTCTACCGCAATAGCGAAGGGCTAATATTTGTCTTCTGATAATTTTTGAGAAAAAATAGGAAGAAGGAAGATTTTGAAATTTTGAAAGTTCTGCCATGAACCTAACCTAATCAAACCTTTAGCATGTATCTGAGCATAGTAAATGGATCACGAATGACAAGGCTTGTCAAAATGTTCTCCATAAAAATTTAATTGTGCCAATGCCAAAACAACTTCACACCAAATAAGGCCATGGGAGAATAAAAGTGTTCTCTCCCCTTAAGACCAACAAATTCTCAACTGCATCATAAAACTATGCAAAAATTTTAGTCAATGGACTGAAAATGCAGAGCCATATACATTTCATCTTCAAGGAAAATAGGAAATAGGCATATCTTGACATTTTGAAAGATTTGCTTATTCAGATTTTCTATATTCTTATCATGGTGTTTTAAAGATATAAGACAATAAATGAATTTACCCTTAAGGTTATTTTCAGCCATAGTGGCCATGTTGGTTGACTGACAGGAATAAAAAAAACATGAACTTTATTTTAGATACATTAAAGGATGATTCAGCCCGTTTTCGATTAAAATTAGTCTTGCAGTTTCAGGCAGTAGACGATTTTTTTGAAATTTTTCATGATGGACAATAGACGACAGATTCTAAGTCATGGCAATAGATCACCAAACAATAGAAAACCAATGTTTGAATAGAGAAATGTTCCTAATACAGCAATTTTGCTGGACAATGGAATTGAAAATATTCTTGAAATATTGGTCATAGATTTTCCAGACTCTTTCAACAACTAGGTATAATCATATAAACAGAGAGAGAGAGAGAGAGAAATCTTAAGGCTTTACATGGTCATTTATGCAGACTACATTGGAAGATGATCTTAAGTCGGCAATTCCTAACTTTGACAAATTGTTGACAGCACCACTTTTCAACACTGTAGCAATGAAGACAGTGATAGAGGAATGTGGTATAGTTGACAATAAGACTACTAGCCACAAAAGACGAAATGAAATCAGTTATAGGTCATGGTACAGATTTCAAGAATGAACAAAACTCACACTGTTATGTTAATTAGGCAATTAAAGGTCCCAGGATGACAAAACGAGAAACAATTTAAAGGAGAAACCAACAGTTTGATTTACAAGAAAACAATAATTAAAAATCATTATGATTTCTGCATTTTTTCGTTAAAAAAAATCATAAATTATTCTATATTTACAAAATGAAATTGTAAAATGACAACATATTTATATTGTAATGAGATTCAGTTTATTCAATTCACTGTTAGAGTATATATATAGTTTTTACAGTGTCCAGCACTGACTATTTGAGCGTTTGACAAATAAATCGGACATTTGTCAGAACTTTATCATGTTTATGAGTGTTCATATTCTACCACCACATGGTAGGTGAATATTTTCATATCTTCTCCAATAAAAAAAAGCTGCTATGTTCAACATTCTCCATTTCTGTTGTTCAGAATGCCAGCACAATAGATGTCCTTTTTCTTTATCAATACATCTCATTATCAGTATCATTTAAGTCATTACTGACTGAGCTTGTGCTAATCTGAGGAAGGCATTGACCAAAACCTTTCGATCACCAGCCTTAAAAATATCAAACAAGTCTGAGTAGTGCAGCTTTCCTTTGTCCTCTTCCATCAATCTGTCTCCTATATGATTTAAATAATATGAACTGACTTCAAGACATGTCAGCATAATCTGTAATAAAAGAATAAAAAATTCGTAAGGGTTCCACGGAACCCAGTGTCTCGCCTACTTTTGCTGTTAATCGCAGGCTCAACAAAAATGAGGAAAAAAAATAATAAAAATATTCCTCTCTATACTATCTTTTGATTGTAAGTAGCTTCTGTCCAAGTTTGGTAAAAATCCAGGATAGTTTATCAATCTAATAAATGTTTTAAAAACTTAAAGTGCAGACTGTATGTAATGTTAACTGGAAGAAAAACTAAGTCCATTTACAAGTAAAATACGGAAAAAATGGAATTTATTTTTTACTTTTTTACAAAATTTACTTCTGGATACTATCTTTTGATCATAAACAAGGTTCTTTCCAAGTTTGGTAGAAATCCAGGATAGTTTAAGAAAGTTATTAAAATTTCAAAAACTTTAACCACAGAGTGAATGTAATGTTTCATGGCAGAAAAACTAAGTCCATTTATAAGTAAAATACAGAAAAAATGGAATTTTTTTTTTTACAAAATTTACTTCTGGATACTATCTTATGATCATAAACAAGCTTCTTTCCAAGTTTGGTAGAAATCAAGGATAGTTTAAGAAAGTTATTAAAATTTCAAAAACTTTAACCACAGAGTGAATGTAATGTTTCTTGGCAGAAAAACTAAGTCCATTTATAAGTAAAATACGGAAAAAATGGAATTTTTATTTAAAAAAAATTTACTTTTGAATATTATCTTATGATCATTAACAAGCTTCTGTCCAAGTTTGGTAGAAATCCAGGATAGTTTAAGAAAGTTATTAAAATTTCAAAAACTTTAACCACAGAGTGAATGTTATGTTTCTTGGCAGAAAAACTAAGTCCATTTATAAGTAAAATACGGAAAAATTGGAATTTTTTTTTTACAAAATTTACTTTTGAATATTATCTTATGATCATAAACAAGCTTCTGTCCAAGTTTGGTAGAAATCCAGGATAGTTTAAGAAAGTTATTAAAATTTCAAAAACTTTAACCACAGAGTGAATATTTGTGGACGCCGCCGACGACAACGACGACGACGACGACGAAGACGCCGACGGAATGTAGGATCGCTATGTCTCGCTTTTTCGACAAAAGTCGAAGGCTCGACAAAAACATCTTATAAGATACTTATCAATTTTAGTCAGAGAGAACAAGTATACAAAAACAACAGTGCACATACTGAAATGTCTCACCTGATTTACTGACCATTGTTTTTTTGGTGAAAGTCTTAAGGATAAAGGTTTTACTACAAGCATCACATAAAAGTAACATTCTTAAACATCAATGGCAATGAGATCAAGGTCAAATAAATACTGTCAGACAACAATTATTCGATATACCAAGAATAGGTAACCTATTGCTTATGGTAATTGAAAAACAAACCAAAACACAAAAACTTATCATTGACCAATGCACCATGACATTGAGTTCAAAGTCAGATTATACCTGCCAGACAAACATGTACATCTTACAATAATTTCATACACCAAATTTATTTGACCTACTGCTTATAGTATTTGAAAAACAGACCAAAAAATAAAAATACCATTGACCAATGAACCATGAAAATGAGGTCAAGATCGCATGCTACCTGCCAGACAGACATCAACACCTTAGAATCATTCCATACACCAAATACAGTTGACCAACTGCTTAAAATGTTTGAAAAACAGATCAAAACACAAAAACTTATCAATGATCAATGATAAAAATGAGGTCAAGGTGAAAGGATACCTGCCAGACAGACATGTACACTTTAAAATCATCCATACATCAAATATAGTTGACCTATTGTTTATAGTACTTGAAAATAGACCTAAACACAAAAACTTAACATTGAACAATGAATCATGAAAATGAGGTCAATAACTGTCCTAGATTTGGATACATCAAAAGGGACGATTTTTTGTTCCAAATGGTTAATTTTCTTTCTTTGGACGGTGATGTTCCTTTGCCACCATCTTACGGTGTTTATATATCACAACTCGTACGCTATGCCCGTGACTGTTGTGACATTTTGGATTTCAATGAACGTAATCTATGTATTACTGGTAAATTATTAAGTCAGGGATTTCATTACCACAGATTACTTTAAACCTTTACTAAATTTTTCCATAGATATGAAGATTTGGTTTGGAAGTTTGGTTGTACATGTAGAAAACTTATTTCAAACGGGATAGCACATCCTAATTTTTACAGAGATGTTGTTTACCAAGCCCGAAATTTAGAAACACTCAGAATAAACTTATCAATCCTTTAAATACACTTATTCTAAAAGGTTACCAATTCAACACTGTCATTAGATCTTTGAATATTGTTTTTATTGGTACTAATATTAATTTTGTTATCAGTAAATCAAAATCAAACTAATTATTGTTTTTTATGCATATGCACATTCAAGGCTCTCAAATCCTGTATCTTGGCATTACACAAGGTCATGTTTTCCCTAACTGTTAATGACATCTTTATTCTAAATACATTGGATGTTTGATACTGATCGATATTTTTGTCTTAGATGCATGATTTTTTTAATAGTTGTTATTGGCTATGAACTAGCTGTCAATAACTGCAAGTACTCTCAGATCTGTATTTAGTGTCTTTTTTTGTTGTAAGGGATGTATAAGTACCCTGCCACGTCCGGTCTTGTATTTCTACTTTGTATCGATCTGATGAGTAAAGCCCTTTTCAACTGATTTTTATAGTTTGTTCTTATACTGTACTGTTACGCCACTGTCCCAGGTTAGGAGAGGGTTGGTGCCTTCAAACTAGTTTAACCCTGCCACATTCTGTATGTGCCCTTCCCAAGTCAGGAGCCTGTAATTCAGTGGTTGTCGTTTGTTGCTGTTTATCATATTTGTTTTTTGTTCATTATTTTGTACATAAATAGTTTTCTCATTTGTATTGTTTTACATTTGTCATTAAAGCTGCCCATGGGTTTTGCTCATTGTTGAAGGCTGTACGGTGATCTATAGTTGATAATTTCTATGTCATTTGGTCTTTTGTGGAAAATTGGCAATCATACCACATCTTCTTATTTTATATCAAGGTCAGATGACACCTGCCAGATTGACAAATACCCCTAAACATCATTACATACACCACAAATAGATGACCTACTGCTTATAATGTCTGAGAAACTGACCTTATCATGTAAGTTTTACCTTGATCACTTATCCATGAAATGAGTTCGAGGTCAGGTGAACTCTGTCTGACAGACATGTAGACATTCCAAGGAACCCATATACCAAATATAGTTATCCTATTACTCATAATAAATAAGAAATTCACATGACAAAAAAAACATAATTTCTTTTTCAAGCAGTCACTGAACCATGAGAATGAGGTCAATGACAATGAATATATGAGAAGGACTTTGTAACATAAGGTGTGTATATATACAAGGTATGAAGCATCTAGGTCTTCTACTACAGAAAAGCGCTTCGGACGCATAAAATTATTAAACGTGTTTTCAATTTTTTACATCACTGGGTCGATACCTCTGCTGGTTGACTATCAGTCCCCGAGGGTATCATCAGCTCAGTAGTCAGTACTTCGGTACTGACATGATTTATAACAAACCTTTCTTAAATTGTCTGTTTATAAATTTTGAAATTATAAAGAAACTAAGGTTTCAACTCCCTCAGGCAAAGTTGACATTAGATGGATTTGGCTATTTGTTTTAGGTATTTTTGTCATATAGCTCTTCAACTGTTTCGGTACTTATACATCCCTTGGATTTCAAATGTTTGGCTTTGAGCGTTCCTGATGAAGGTAAATCCAGAAAAGCGCTTCGGACGCATAAAATTATTAAACGTGTTGTTTTCAATTTTTTTCTGAAGTACAAAGCTTTATACAAATAGTTTACCCCGCCCTCCAGCTGAATAGTGATCCCTTTGCTTGCAGTTGCAGGCGAGACAAAAATAGAATGAATTATGAAATTCTGTTTTTTAATTGTACTTTTAAATTTAAAAGTATAAGCAATTCTTGGTTAGGGTTCGTGGTGTCTGTTGTACTTACTGTCTAATACTTAATGGGGCTTCCCAATAATCTCTTTAAATAATTTATAACTTTTGTAAACAGATTTTATGTTTGTTTCATTAGTTTTGAAATGCTTTTAGACATTACTGTCATAAGGCATTTTGTTACATGTATTTCATAGTTTTTTTTAACTTAAAACTTTATTTTGTTTGATGAGTGTAGCAATAGTTTACTCAGCACAAAACTCTAATTCTTTGTACAATAATGGTTGAACTTTTGTCATATTTTTGATAATATTTTTTCTTGCATTGCATCTTTATAATCTAGTCTTTGAAATCTTTATAGTAGTCGTTTTTTCCTACACAAAATTACCTTTAAAAGGAATAACAATTTACACGCCTTAGGCCAAAAAAGAAAAGTTCTTATGTTGTGCTGTTACACTACTGTCCCAGATTATGGGGAGGGTTGAGCGCTCACAAACATGTTTAACCCCGCTACATTCTTTAAGTGCCTGTCCCAAGTCAGGAGCCTGTAGTTCAGTGCTTGTCGTTGGTTCATGTCCCTCATATTTGTTTTTGTTAATTGTTTTGTTATGAATTAGGCCGTTAGTTTTCTCAATTGAATTCATTCACATTTTTCATGTCGGGCTTTTTATAGCCGACTATACGGTAAGGGTTTTTCTCATTGTTGAAGGCTGTACGGTTGCCTATAAATGCTTAGATCCACTTTATTTGAACTTTGGTGGATAGTTGTCTCATTGGCAATCATACCTCATCTCCTTATTGTTATATATTTGTGTGCTTGCAGTAACCAGACTGATCTTGCAACAACCTGAAACTTTTATTTTCTAAAATAATTGACGAGACATTACTTTGTGACTTCTGTTAGAACCTGATGACACTAGAAATATAAAGAACATATACTGCAAGGGTCCATGATTGGTCAAATAAAGAATTTCTATTTCTATTTCTATTCTCATAAAATATGGCGTCATTCTTAATTGAAAAGAGTGAATGTAAAATCAAAAGCACACCTTTTTTTTAGTAAATAAATACAGTATTTTGATACCCCGAGTAACAAAGATGCATTGGGTATAATGTTTCTAACCCATCTGTCCGTCTGTCAGTCTGTCAGTCCTGTTCTTGTCATTACAACTCCTCTGAAACCACCTACAGAATTTCATAAGTTTTTGTAGATAATAAGGACATACTTTGTAGATGTGCATATCAACAGGAAATTATGATTCAATTCTTTTTCTAGGAATTTTGCCCCATGACCTTTGAATTTTTGCAAAAATACTACTACAACAGTTTGTCATTGCAACTCCTCTAAAACAAAACAACAGAATGTCATGAAACATTACATAGACATAATATCCACAAAAAATGTTCATCAGTTGCTTTTTATAAGAAATATGAGTCTTTGAAAGAAGGAATCTGGTGAGATTTGTTTGCCCAGTGATAATGTGGGGGCATGGGGTATGTGAGCGTGCTTACAAAGGTATGTAATTAATAAATGTATTTTTCTTACTTAATTACATTTCCATTTTTAAAGTGCATGAAGCATCACACTTTGTGAGTACTATGACTGTCTTCATGCATGAAATGCCAAATATTTTTTCCATGGATATTCTCACAAACACAATTTTTGTTTTGGCCTTTATAAGTGGTTTACTCCTTTTTTTTTCCTTCTTTTTTTTTTGGGGGGGGGGGGGGGGTGGGGCAATGGTCAAATGATCAAATGATCTAGTACTATTTAATATGATGTCATTACAAATCAATTAAATATAGTACCAACATGAACAATTTGACTGAAATAGATTAATTTTCATAAAATGTTGACAAAATATTTATTTTGGCCTGTTGACAAAAATATAAAAAATTCACACAATTTACCCTCAAGATCACCCCAAGTTTTTGGTCTTTAGTTTTCTATGTTGTGTTTTGAGTACTGTCTTTTGTTATTTTTCTTTTTCTTTTTTTGCTATAGCGTTGTCGGTTAATTTTCAACTAATAAGTTTAAATGTCCCTTTGGTATCTTTCGCCCTTTTCACAGGAATAATTTCTTACATAGCAGTTTGACAAGCACTAACTTTGATCATTGAGAATCTTGATTCTCTTTACTTATAGTATGTGATTAAAACGTTTAGCTGATTTTTTAAGAGTTAACTCCCTTATGTGTTCTGTGCCCCCTTAACTTCAAGTAATTATAAGAGTACTGCATCAATACATGCATACATGTTTATACCTTTGATCCAATAAACATAATTCCAAAACTGCATGGCTTAAAAGCAGATCTTTTAACTTCCAGCAACAGCTGACCAGCATGCTGAGCTGCTCCTTTTATATCCCAAGGAAGAAACTTACAGCCAACCGACTCTCTTTGTTCTGGGTTTAGTCTTGTGTTTTGTCTTGTGTGCACATCATCCCTTGAATAATCACATTCTTCCAACTATACAAAATATATGTAGCATCATATTAAGTTTAGATTTTATTTTTTTATATTTTGCACTATCTCTATCAAAAAAGAGCTTGTGTTAATTTCAATGACTTTCTTTTGAGAGGTGACAGAATTTGTCACAGAAATTGCCAAGTTAAATATTTTTCAACATGTTCAAACAACGATCATCACTAGAAAAAGTTTGACAGTGCCCATATGCATGAGTTATCAATCTTGATCAGGTAATGTACAGTACACACAGAGAGGATGTAATCTCATACTCCCAACACTGATTCTGGTGTAACACAGTGTCATACTGTGAAACACAGATTTCTCTCCCAAAAAACACCAAGTAATTACTCCCACCTGGGAGGGTTTTATGACCTGTTGATTGCAGGTAAGAGTAATAAAAATCAACAAAGCACGACTGCATGGTCTGACAGTGACATAATTACAGGTCAACTATTCTCTCACTTCTTCCTATTTCAATCATTTCCTATTTAGTTTTATTTCTGAAAGCACTAAAAAAAGGTTAACAAAATGATTTTTAAAATTTTTATACAAATATGTATTTTTAGATTGGAAAATTATTTACATTCTTTCATAATCTCATAATCAAGAATGGCAACTTGATATTTACAATAAGTTGTATTTATAGTCAGTTTAAACATATAGATATTAGTATATACATGGTTTAAAAAATAATAGTAATGATACAAAAAAAATAATGAATAAAATAAAATAATGTAGATAAATTACATATATATATTATATTTATATAATCTTCCTTTATTTCTTATCATTTAAATTTAGAAAAAACGATTGAATAAATTCAATTAAAATATATGTCTTTATTTTCTATTAATAATACTCCACTTACAGGTGATGTTTTGTTTGTTTTTGTATGTTTCTTAGGTATGAAAAACCAACACTGTCAGAACAAATGCTGAATATAATTTTAATAAATAAAGTTGTACAGGATTCTTTAATAAAATCAGATTATAATATGTCTCTGATTAAATTTAACGATTCTCACACTTTTCATCATTTTTGTGACTGTCATTTAATGACAGGAAACACAAGAAATGTTTATTGTAGTCATCAACTACTGGCACACTTCAAAGGTAATCATAGCAATAAAAATCATGTTGTTGGGAGAAACCACACCAAGGTAATAAACAATTAAGGAGTTTTAGGGAGGAATTACTCCAAGTTTCTCCCAATTTCCTCCCAAGATTTGGAGAGAGTTGCTGGAGTTTCTTGGTGTGACACCAAGTTTTTACACAGTGTAGGGAGTATGAGATTACATACTCTCTGTGTGTACTGTATACCAAACGATCTGAAAGTTGTTGGTTGCTATAGATCTGTCATATTTGTTTTTCATTTATTGTTTTGTCATAAAGCATGCCCTTGGTTTTTCCGTTTGAATTGATTCACATTTTGTCCTGTCTGGGCCTTTTATAGCTGACTATACAGTATAGGTTTTTCTTATTGTTGGACCCATACGGTGATCTATAGAATATTGTTGCTTAAATCTCCTTCATTATACCATATCTTTTTTATATATAAATGATCCGGTTCATATCATTTGGTTTATGGTTAACAGTTGTCTCATTGGCAATCAAACAACACTTCCTTATTTTTATACCTAGACAAATATCTGTAAATTGAGTATAGGCTTTGACCCCAAAAGAAACTGACTCATTACTGTAGATTTCTAAAAAAAAATGGGATTGACAAATTCTTGGGGAGAGGGGGGGCTTTTTTTTTTTATCTTTTTGATTAATGGGTGAGCAGTTGAGACATCCTGAATGATCCCTCATTTTTCATATATAATTTTGAATATATAAAAAAAATACCTCATCATAGATTTTTTTTTTACAAAAAAATACCTCTATATAGCTATCATGATTTATGATGATTATGCTATTTCATGGTGAGGTAAATAGATTTGACAAAATGTGATGCACTTACAAAAGTTATTTTAATTGATTCAACCAAAAAAAACAATAATTGGTATTTGATTAGTTTCAGATACTTATGGTGTAATCAAATGGTGTAATCAACAACCTTGACATACATTTCATCTTTAATTCCTTAAAAGACCTTATCATATATTATTTTTGCAAATAATCCCACTCAAGCCAGTGCTAGGTGCCGTCTTAAAGGAGACATGACACGATTTTCAATTTGTGTTTCAAAATGTTTATTTATACTTAACTTTCATCAAAAAATAAATGGATAGCAATATAAGTGTCAACTATTTGGTAAAATATGTATTTTAATGAGAATTTGATGCAACGATTTATCGACCTGTCAAATATGCATATTTCCATCCCAGAAGTCACTCAGAACGAGGCTACTACGTCAGTGGTTACATTCATTCATATTGACATATGGGTACAGCACAAATTTAATTTCGATTATTATCCAACAAAACGCATGACAGTGATAAACAATGATTATGTGTGACGCCGATGGATTCAACAATATAATTAAAAAGATTATTGACATGAAATTTTCTGTTTTTTCGAATGACACGCAGACTTAGAAGGTGTAAAGATGGGACTTTTTAACAAGCCCAAACTACACTTCTTTCCGCCCACTTTCATAAGGAATCCAGAGTTGGGGTCTCGGGTGCCATGCCATGAGTTCATCATAGGTCACATGGGGGATTGATAAGACATATAGTTATTACGCAATATATCTTCATAAGCTCTTTGTGTACATCCTGGATGTTGGTTTTGCCGAGGGCACAGGTGAGATTGGAATATATTATTGTTGTGTACAGTAAAACAGGTACAACTACCTGATCATATATGTTTAATGAATATCGGTAGTACGACCATACAATACCCTATGCACCACCAATTAAATACCCTAACCCGTGTTGATAACTAATAGACAACCTGTATATAGATCTTATTTTTATTGCTTTTAAGAATATGCAGATATAAAAAGGTTTATAACAGATGCATTTTTTAATTGACTTCTTGTGATGGAAAAATAATATTCTTGTATGCTTGCAAGTCTATAACTTCATAAGAAATTGGTAGACAAAAAGCATAAAAAGCAAACAAGGAAATGATACGAGAATGTGAATCATAAGTCTTTTACATTCTTTTTCTGACACATTCCCTAATTCCATTCTCAGTTTTATTATATTGAACATCGAATATAATTATTGACAACTATTTAGTTGGTAAAGATTCAGATGATGAAAAACATTTCTTTTTAAAATGGAAACTTTATAATAAATGAAGAAAGTGTCGTTTATCGTACGGCCTCCAATAATGAGAAAACCCCATACCATATATTCGGCTACAAAAGTTCTCAACGTGAAAATGTGAAACAATTTTAACGAGAAAACTAACTTATTTATAACAAAATAATTTCTGCAGAAAAAAATTGACAGACATGAATAAACGACAACCACTGATCTATATGCTCCTGATTTAAGACAGGCACATTCAAAATCAGTGGTATATGTTTGTGAGCGCCTACAATACCATCTCCCCCTCCCAACGTGTAACAGTGGTCTTACAGCAGTACATAAGAACTATAAAAACCAGTCTAACGCAAAAGTTCGGTATGAAGTAGAGAAACCCCTAACGTTAAAACAATAGAGGCAACGCACAAATACTGTTAGCCAGATCAAAGCCAAGTACAGCTATAATACATAACTCATGTTCTCGAAGACTGAAGTATGTTACATGTAAACATTTTCCTGCCCAGTCCGATTGAAAATCTAACATTTATTCAAATGACCCCTTTTAGAAGAAATATTTTGAAAAAGAACATTATGTGTTGCGAATATTTTCCTGGACTCAAGCGTTCGCTGGTAGCAATAAACAAATTGATTTTGCTAAATGATATTTGGAAGAGAGGGGTGGAAATAAGTGAATTTGAATTTTCTTTGTGTAATTCCTTAAATTTGATGTTAGATTTATAAGGGTCTGGATGGAATAGCATACTTTAGAAGTGTATAACTATATTAATTATTTCAACATAAGATAGTTTTTTCTTAGAAATGTATGATTTTAAAAGGTAAATAACATAACACATGACTAAATCACATTACAGGTGCCTTCTTACCCTTCACCTGGTCAAGTATGCTATAGGTGTCAACATTTAATCACTGAAACAGCAGCCTCCAATAAATGTTTTGTATTGTGTAATTTTATACATAAGGTGAGACGTAAATAAATATTGAAATGAATTGTTTACATAAAAGGGGAAAAGTAATAAAATTGTTAATTGAATATCCTAATGCAGAAATAGTGTGATAAAGGATTTTTCACTATACAAATCCTTTGTGTGATGTATGGTTTCCAACCAAAAAAATTATAAACATAACTTTTGGTGATAATTTATACCTATTAAAAGTCTCTATGTAATAAAAAAATATAAATAAATAAAAACAGACACTTTGCGAACGCCTTATTTGATTTTACTATCGTTTTTTCTGCTTCTGGCGCACACATAATTATAACATTACCGTAACAGAGAGAGAAAAAAGAACACTTTGATCATCAATAATTAGAAATTTATATTTTCAATCATGATTAAAAAGTAGTTTTATTTAAATGAAAAAAATGCAGAAAGCGGTCTATTAAATTTATTCATCAGACAAACCAAATATGTATGGTAACAATCCGATCGGTATTGTCTGAAAAATCGTCGTTTTTGGACTCTTCGCATGAAGAATTAATATCCTTTTCTTTGTTATTTTTCACACACAATGTCTTTATAGTTTATCAGTAATCAGGAAAAGTGCTGTCAATACCGTCCATAGTGTATCCACATCGTCCAGTTAGAGACATTTTCCCAGCTTGTAACCACTGACGTAAGCACGATCACGTGATCGTTATCTAATTAAAAATCATTCTTAATGACAAGCACTGGATTCTCTGACCAGAAAAATGCCGATTTGTCAGGTTTTGACCAGCAAAATTGTACAAAACATGTTTTAAGACTAATATTTATTAATTTAATAAAAAAAAAAAAAAAAAAAAAAATTGTGTCATGTCTCCTTTAAACTTGCAGTGAGGTGAGAGTTTTTTGCTACTTGTTAAAGGACTCACTGTGACTTTGAGATGAAGAACGGCAATAAAAGCGCTGTTTCTTTGCTTTTTGTGTGTTTTTTGCTGTGCGTATACTGATTTTGTGTTATGGATGGATACCCATATCCTTTGTTATTCTATTATCATATATTATGCAGTTGAAAATAGTGATTTATTCCAGCAGCTCATCCCTACCAAACACTACATATATAGTAAGTGCACCCCCCCAACCACCCCCACCCCGGGACATATTATAGACATTTACAGATGGAAAGGTGATCATGACCCAGTGAAGAAAATTAAATGTGACCCCAATATTTATAGTCTGAAATTCCAGTATTTACAGGAACATCAAGGTATAAAATATTAAATATAAAACCAACCTTTGCAGTAGAAACAGTGGCATAGCCCTGTAAAGAACCAAATGGAATTTTTACTGCTTGGAATTCCAAATCTGGAAAAGCAGCGACAGGACATCCCTCTATAATTAGTTCTTTTTTAATACCATCACTGAAATTTATTTTAGAAATTACAACAGAAATATATACATGATATATAATTTGTTAATCGTTGTTAATGCTTATGACTATTTTAACTTATAATTCTTCCTATACAATTTTAAATCCTGAAAAGGATGTTTTCTGCTCAGTTTCAAAATAGCAAGCTTTTTAAAAGATGGTTAAAAATTGATAGTATATAAATAACGGAACTAAAAATGCAGAAAAAATGAAAAGTCAGTGTCCTTGTTTTTGAGATACAAGTCAATGAAAAGTTGACAGCAAATGATTCTCTGTAGGTTTTTCATAAATTTAACATTGGTACCTTTTTCTTTCAAAAACAATGAAAAAATAACTAGGATTTTATAAGATTTTCAAAATGGTTTTTTTTTTATATGAAATAAAATTATGAAAAGAAAATTTGGGGCTAGCCCCTTAGCGAGTAAATTTTTCATTGCACTATTTCTAAATGGATAAAACCACGGCTGTCATTTTTTATATACCGAAAAAATATCGTGAAAGTTCTGGTAAGGGATCATGAGGGAAACCTTATCAAGAAGACACACGTGACGTCAATAGATAATCTAATTCATTGAATTTTAAGGACAAATTTTGAAAAAAAGTAAAACTGTCTGTCAATATGGTTCAACATCATGATCAGTATTAGTATCTTAGTAAAATTAAGGCAGATTACTCTTCAACGTTCAAATGACATAAAAAATGCAAACAAACGTAATTTTTTTCCTTATATCATGTTAACTAAATTACTATTCTCTATAACAATGTTGTTCTTAATTAATGTTTCAAGTGGCTCTCAAAATTATTTTAAAGTAACTTGATAAGAAAGTGTGTCAAAATTGAAATATTTGAATAAATTTGATATTTATGATTGTGCAAGATGGGTATCACTTTTTTGGAGATTGTGAAAAGGATCGTGAAAAGGATCGCTCATTTGTCATTGCACACATTTTTGAAAGTGTTCAAATCAATGTGTAATTACATCTCCATTTGTTTTATAATTGGTACATTGTACTGCAGGAGACCGAACTTCCATGACTTTTTCTGGTTCTCTTTTTGTGATGGAATAATGTGTTAGGCTATGATGGTTCAATGCCCTTTGGTCAGGGTTTTTTTTTTTTTAATAAGACCATTTTGACTAGTCCGTGGTGTCCTTAAGTAAATAATGTATGTCTGTTGGTCTGTCAACATGTTTATGTTGTTATCATACATGTTATAATAAAAAAAAAGGTAGAATTTAAATGGAAAATAATAATTGATTCAGCATGTTCAGGGAATTTCAAATTTCAAGCATGTGGAAATTGGGGGTATATCTGGTAAATACAACATTTTATGGATTGATTCCCAGAGTTCAATTTTCAATTAGAAAAAGTTTTGAAAAAAACATCTGACAGTCTGAAAAAGTGTTCTAGGAGTTGCATGAGTTGAGTGAAATAAAATTTATTGTATTCTGCCATTTGAAATTGATTATTTGTTGTCCCAGTTGTGGTAAAAGCTGAGCTTTTATAAAAAAAAAGATCACAAAATTTGTGAAACATCGTTTTGTGTTAGAATTTATATGCCATTCTGAACTATTTCTCGATGTCATAAAATAATTGTTGCCAGCTATTTTTGAAATGAAAGTCAAAGTGTATGAACAATTACATAGAAGAATATATAAAAAGAACATATCCTGAAATAATTCCTGGTTTGAATTTGCTGTGTTTAAAAGTTTCAATTCCACACAATGTCTAAATAGAGGCAGTGGAAACAATGAATAATAGGAATAAAAGAAAGTCCTGTCTTTGTTGTATTAGACACAAACATCTAAACTATTTGCATTCGAGCTGCAAAAAGTGTTAACAGTTGTGGGATCACTACATCCAGACATATGATTTTGAGTTAGAGTTGGAAGTGTAAGTTGTTATTTAATACTAGTGCTGCTTATGATTTGTATGATTGCCAATAAGACAATTATCCACCAGAGACCAAATAATGCATATATAGGTTACAGAAAGGCCTTCACCAATGAGCACACAGTTTTTTCACAATCAAAATAGCACATTGCCTGATCTTTCACGATCAATTTAGATTATAAAAATCAACAAAATACTTCTTTTAAAAAATAATCTTTGCCTTTTCAAACAAAAAAGTCTATCATGATTTATTGGAAAGTGACCATTGTAGATCCAAAACTTGTTTTTTCTTAAATGATTTGTATTAGGTTGTGTGTCGCCTTTTGAGTTTTCTTCAAAAGTACTGCAATTTTTGTTGACCTTAGTGCACAGTACTATTAAGTAAGTTGAACCATTTTGACAGACATACAAGTATTTCTTTTTCTGATTTTTTTTGCCTGTTGGTAATACAATGGATATTTTAAAAGATTTTGCAGTTGAATTGTATTCAATTGCTTTCACCATCCTATACCAGATATTTCACAATCCAATCACAATGCTTGACCACAGTTACTTATTCTTTCATAATCAATTTTCTCGATTTACCAAATGATAGCCAAGAAAGCCTGAGGAATCTGACAAAAAGTAAAAAAAAAAAGATCAGCGAACATCCTTAAGCTGTTTTTATACGACCGCAAAAAAATTTTGTGGTCGTATATTGGTATGACGTTGGCGTCGTCGTCGTCGTCCGAAGACACATTGGTTTTCGCACTCTAACTTTAGTTTAAGTGAATTGATCTCTATGAAATTTTACCATAAGGTTCAATACCACAAACGGAAGGTGGGGATTGATTTTGGGGGTTATGGTTCCAACAGTTAAGGAATTAGGGGCCAAAAAGGGGCCAAAAATAAGCATTTTGTAACTTCCAGACATAACTTGTGTGTTAGTGTATGGATCTCTCTGACATTGTACCACAAGGTTCCATATCACAAAGGGAATGCTGGGATTGATTTTGGGGGTAATTGCCTCCAAATTTTAGGAATTAGGGGCCAAAAAGGGGAAAAAAAACAAGCATTTTTTTAGTTTCATGACAATAACTTGTGTGTAAGTGTATGGCTCTCTGACATTGTACCATAAGGTTCCATATCACAAAGGGAATGCTGGGATTGATTTTGGGGGTAATTGCCTCCAAATTTTAGGAATTAATGGCCAAAAAGGGGCAAAAAACAAGCATTTTTCTAGTTTCCTGACAATAACTTGTGTGTAAGTGTGTGGATCTTTATGAAATTGTACTACAAGGTTCCATATCACAAAGGGAAAGCTAGAATTGATTTTGGGGGTAATTGCCCACAACGTTTAGGAATAAGGGGCCAAAAATAAGCATTTTTCTAGTTTCCAGACAATAACTTGTGTTCAAGTGTATGGATCTCTCTGAAATTGTACTGCAAGGTACCAAACCACAAAGGGAAGGCTGGGATTGATTTTTGGGGTAATTCCCTAGAAATTTGAGGAATTAGGGGCCATAAAGGGGCAAAAAAACAAGCATTTTTCTAGTTTCAGGACAATAACTTGTGTGTAAGTGTATGGATCTTTATGAAATTGTACTGCAAGGTTCCATATCACAAAGGGAAAGCTGGGTTTGAGTTTTGGGGTAATTGCCCTAAATGTTTAGGAATTTGGGGCCAAAAAACAAGCATTTTCTTGTTTCCAGACAATAACTTGTGTTCAAGTGTATGGATCTCTCTGAAATTGTACAGTTCATACATGTGAACCTCCCGACGGAAGTACAATAATCCCGTTTTCAGGGGTCTCCTCCCGACCTCCCGTTGAAGACAAAAAAATCCCGTGTATGAAATATTTCATGAATGAAAAATTTCAGCCCAACATATCCGGTGTAACTGACATTACTGAAGTTATATTTTACCTGTAAATCAATTAACATGCATAATTATATGGCTTCACTTGTCACCTTTGGTGTCAAACATACTGGTAATAAACGATTTTTACCTCAGCAGGCTAATTGCCGTTGTGTAATAAAACTTTGTTTATTTAAAATGAATGTTGGGTTACTTCCCTTGATTTATCCTGTTTTAAGTTACTTTCCTTTAAATAATGTAAATTTTTAAAAGAATATAAATAAAATATAAATTGAACAAATAATCATAAAAGGATGGTAATTAAATGATTTTAAATGTTTTAGGACAAATAAAAAAATAATAATTTGAAAATTATTTGAGGTTTCTATACTTCCTTTCAAGGCTTAAATTAAAATTTATATAATAACTATGACCCATGATAAAGTTAGAATGTGTTACTTATCATGCAATATAAATCAACTTGCATGAAGATAAAAGATCTACTTGCAGATAGATATGCAAATATTCTGATTGCAATGAATAATGGTAAAAAGATATGACCTAAAAAATTTAAAAAACATACTGAAAAAGAAAAATGTTAGATTGAACAAGTTGAAAGTTTAAGAAGATAGAGAAAATTTATAAGTACAAAGATACTATAAACATAATACATTCGGATGGAAAGTTGAAGAAAACACACTTTAACAGACAATTTCTACAGCACACGGTTACATTTACGACAGAATTTATGTCGATTAAAAACATCCTGATCTGAGTCCTAATCTCCAAAACTCCTGATCTTAGTTTCACAGTCCATCACATGTATGTGTACTGCAAGGTACCATACCACAAAGGGAAGGCTGGGATTGAGTTTGGGGGTGATGAATCATAAGGGGGTTCAAAAAATTTTGGGGGGGGGGGATTTTTTTCCCTTTTTTTCTTTAAAATTTTCCAATTTAAATTGGTTATTTCTGATTTATATATAAGCAAATAGTAATGATATGGTTTGAATAGATAAATTAAAATTTTTTAAGTTCTTAGACCACATTTATTCTGTGTCAGAAACCTATGCTGTGTCAAATATTTAATTACAATCCAAATTCAGTGCTGTATCAAGCTTGAATGTTGTGTCCATACTTGCCCCAACTGTTCAGGGTTCGACCTCTGCGGTCGTATTAAGCTGCGCCCCAGCGGAGCATTTTATTTTTTTTATTATTTCTGAAAATATTAAAGGGAGATAAATTTCATGTGAATATCTGTTACGGTAAAAGTTCCAATGCTGATCATGCTGGTGTTTGTTGCAATATATTCTACTATTTAAGTTGCTACATGTTTATATCTCATAGCAATTTACCGTATAATTATCTTAACCAAAATGCACTCCTAAACTTCTCAATTCACTGATAAAACTTAAATTATGTACATTGTATTCATGTCATTAATAAAACAAGAATGTGTCCATAGTATACGGATGCCCCACTCGCACTACAATTTTCTATGTTCAGTGGACCGTGAAATAGGGGTCAAAACTTTAATTTGGCATTAAGATTAGAAAGATCATATCATAGGGAACATGTGTACTAAGTATCAAGTTGATTGGACTTCAACATCATCAAAAACTACCTTGACCAAAAACTTAAACCTGAAGCGGGACAGACGAACGAACGGACGGACAGACAAGAAAACATAATGCCCCTAGGTGGGGCATAATAAGCATGATCATGATCATGATTAGTAGATTAACAAATTTTAATAACTCAAATCCTCAGTACATTAAACCGTTTGAAGTTTTAAATTAAGCTATTTATGTATATTATATATATAAACATTACATACCATCCTAAGAAACTGCAAGCTTTGCAAAATTCTCTCAACACTGGAACAAACAATGATTCATATGATGTTTCTTCTACACTTAGGAAATAGATAAGTTTCTTTACTGCTTCCACAAAACCTTGTCCATGAGTATGAACATTCATTTTTAACTGACTGAAAATATATTTAATTTTATTTCATTAATAAATTACTTGTTTTTGGGATAAAAGTAATGTATGTGATCAGATACAATGTAACAGGGCTATACATAAAATTGAGAATGGAAATGGGGAATATGTCAAAGAGACAACAACCCAACCAAAGAGCAGAAAACAGCCCAAGGCCACAATGGGTCTTCAACACAGCTAGAAAACCCACACCCGGAGGCGGGCTTCAGCTGGCCCCTAAATAAAAATGTGTACTAGTTCAGTGAAAATGGAAGTCATACTAAACTCCAAAACATATAAATGAACTAAAATTAAAAAAAACATACAAGACTAACAAAGGCCAGAGGCTCCTGACTTGGGACAGGCGCAAAAATGCGGCGGGGTTAAACATGTTAATATGCGGAATTGGCCCATATTGGATTTTGATATTTACTACATGTTTTGCAACATACATTTTGTACTCTTGTTACTTTTACTTCATCATGTTCATTTCATCAGGACAAGATTAAAACAAAATTAATTGTTTCCTTTTGGCGATACTACACTTATTGCTTTTGGGAGAGAGTAATCAACATAAGAAAATTCCTATTTCATTGTAAATTCTCATCTTTTTCTTTTTTTTCTATTTTTCATTGGTGATGACAATTTTATTGGATGAAGTTGAGAGCAATTTAAAGCAATTCCTATGTTCTTAATCATTTTTGTTTAAGTCTTTTCTAGTGTTTTAACATGTTTAAAGATTTTGTTTGATACCATTAAGACAAGTTAACACAAGTAAGTCCAATGAAAATGAAGACAAAGAATTTATCAGACATCTAAAGCATCACCATGATCACCATGATCATTGATAATTGTCTTAAAAGAGAGTCTCACTCTTTTTTTTCCATCTGTTAAATATAATGAATTGTCCCAGAGGGTAAAAAAAGACCTGACAGAGTTATTGGAAACCAACAATCTTCCTTGCATGGCCTTAAACCGGCTTTTTGGTTTTGTTTTCATAATAGAAATTGAATTCCAAGCCTACATGTACATGACCTATGGAAAGTGTTATGCCAAACTTTTGGTAGCCCTTTATATTTTACAAGAATATATCTAAACAGAGTTCTTTTAAAAAGGGCACTGGCTATGACTATCTGCAAAAAGTAACAATAAGAATTAATTATCGTTACTTCTGAAACTAATTCCACAAATGTATTTCTGGACAGGGACCTGCCTTCATACAGAAATTCCAGGTTTCAATAATATTCAATGTTACCTGCAGTTATTGTTACCTGCAAACTATATTCAAGCAGGCACTGATTTAATAATATATGATATGCCAAATTATGATATAAAAAACATTAACATAGTTAAACTTCCAGATGTATTGATTAATATGACGTTCACTTTTGCCATTATAAAGGGGTTGATAAAAACAACTCACAATAAATGACTTTTAAATTCCTACACTGACAGTAGGCACTCTTCCGTAAATTCCTACATGTATATCACAATGCCTTGTGCTATTACATGTACATCACAGTAAGAACCAATTGTTTTGATGACTTCGTTTACACAGATTGACCTCGGGTCAAGCGGTTTAACTCATTCATTAAAAACAACTTGAGGTTCAATCTGATTGGTATTTTCAGAATGGAACTGTTTAGTGTGTGTTAATAACTTGAATCCCCATTCTCTATTCTATATATATATATATGGATCTATACTAGTTTATGACGGGTGTCTTGAGTGGTACCAACTGAAATGTGTTGGCCTCAAAATGCCACTAAAGGCTAAATACTGCATGTACTGACTGTACAGAAAGCTAAAAAAATCTAAATATGTATAAACAATGTGCTTTCACATATATGTATATATTGGACAATGACATGAAGACAATACAAAGTATCCTGATGCGTCACACAAAAAAGACATAATTTGCAAATGTAAAATTTTGCAGGTTTCAAGAACTGCAGGTAATGATAACTAGAGGCTCTCAAGAGCCTGTGTCGCTCACCTGATTCTACATTGGTTTTGGAAATCATGTTAAAATAGATTAAAATCATAACAGATACCCTAATAATGAGTGAGGCCAAATTTGGTTTAATATTAGCCCTGTAATTTAATAAAAAATCCTGGTGGCCATCTTGAACAGTAAATCAGCAACAAAGTAGCAACACTTCATCAGCACCTCAAAAGGAACATTTATGCCATGTTTGGTTTCATTCCATTCAGTGCACCTCTAGAAGAAGCATTTGTATGTATTTCCAATAGGGTCTTATGTTAAAGGAAGTCCCCCCGCTGGCGGCCATTGTGGATGAAGGATCAGCTTCAAAGTAACAACACTTAGTCAGCACCTCATAAGGAACATTCATGCCATGTTTGCTTTCAATCCACTCAGTGTTTCTCTAAAAGAAGACATTTGTATGTATTGTCCATAGGGTCCTTTGTTAAACACTGTCCCCAGCTGGTGGCCATCTTGGATGATGGATCGGCTTCAAAGTAACAACACTTGGTCAGCACTTCATATGGAACATTCATGCCATGTTTGGTTTCATTCCATTCAGTGGTTCTCTAAAAGAAGACATTTGTATGTATTTCCCATAGGGTCCTATGTTTAACTAAGTCCCCCGCTGGCGGCCATCTTGGATGATTGATCGGCTTCAAAGTAACAACACTTGCCTTGGTCAGCACCTCATAAGGAACATTCATGCCATGTTTGGTTTCATTCCATTCAGTGGTTCTCTAAAAGAAGTTCAAAATGTAAAAAGTTAACGACGACGATGACGGACGACAACCACAACGGACAACGGACGCCAAGTGATGAGAAAAGCTCACTTGGCCCTTTGGGCCAGATGAGCTAAAAAATTATATTATTGTTACGTTTTTGTACCTGCAATTTCCCTGTCTGGAAACACATTTCAGCAATAAGTCTCGGAATTAACTGATAATTTCTTATTGGAACTTGTTGCAGGTAACTGGCACTGCATTATAGTTAATTTCAGCACCAAGTCAAATTGGGACCTGGTTAATTCAATCAGTTATGTGATTTTTCCTACGGGAGTCAAAATCTCCCGATAGAAAATTTCCAGTTTTGAGGCCCAAACTCCAGTCAAAAATTTTCAAATCTCCAGTTGTGACTTATCAACTCTGTCACATGTATGTTAAATTCGGCACCAGAGGTAGTTATTTTGGCACTCATGGTTAATTAACATGATGTTTTGTAAGTAAAATGCTGTTTTTTTCCAAATTTTTATTTAAAGATTTTCACTCTATTATGGTGCCAGCAAGTCAGTTTGGCATTTCAATACTTCTTATTTTCTCATGAACAAACCGCAGCAGGACTCAGTTAGCAAATATATATATATATATACAAAAAATTTGCAAAGCAAATTTACAGATCTAACATTGTTGGGCTGATGTTTAGACGAGTTGTATATACAGAATGTACACAGCCATGTATCACCATCATTGCTGGTGATCCGATGGATAAATCTGTTCATGCTGTTGTAGAGTTGTCACTGGTACATGTACTTATAAATATAATTATTTCTGTGACTGTATCTTGCATTAATTTGTAGGATCCTTTACAATAGATATTTCAGCTGATCTGTAACAATTCCATCTTCATGCCTTATATATCATGTACTGTATTACGACCCTAGATTAAAACTGACGAGGAAAGGTAACACCCGGCCACCAAAAGCTTTAATAATGTGAAGCTTAGGTGGTTTAGTGGTCTAGCGCGTCGGATACAGTGCAGGCGATTTTGTGTCACGATATCTCAGTAACATGAGTTCGAATCCCGGCGAGGGAAGAACAAAAAATTTGATATGCAAATTTACAGATCTAACATTGTTGGGCTGATGTTTAGACGAGTTATATACATGATATATATATATATATACACACACTTTAAGTCATATATTTTTGTATTTCTGCTATCTATTTGTATTAAATAATTTACGTTGGCACCAAGACTTTTATGTTTACCATTGTTTACTAGCAATATTCTTTAATTGGTATCTCTAAGTTCTTTCATTTTTAAATGAAAACCAATCAAAACATTATTAACAAAATATTTAGAAACAATTAATAGGTGCCGGAATGAGTGTAAATAGGTGCCGATTAGACCAGGTGCTGATTTGACTTTTTCTATAGGAGCCGATTTGACTAATGTACCCACTGGCACAGTGGACCAGATAATACAATGACTAAAAAAATATAAGGGAAAACAGTTATAGTTGAGCCAATGTACCTGGATTCAAAACTAATTGGATGGTCAATCACTAGTTGCAGAATGACAAAACACTTACGAATAGTTCCCTGCTGGGGCAAGTTCTTGAAGATGGCTTTTAATGTCAACTAGCTCCCGTCCAATAGAATCAAGATCTGCAAGTGACATTGCTTTTAACTGTTCAAAAGGGAAGTCAATGTTTATTTTTTCTGATATGTAATCAGCGACTTGTTTTAATTCTACATTGAGAGGAGGAATAGTTGCACAAATGTTCAGCAATTCTTCAGGATTTTTTGGCGCATCATCCCAACTTGTGCGAAGCCTGTCCAATATATGCGGTTCCCATGTTCTTGTGTCATGAGGAATTGTTGTCAACTCCAGGAATTTACTATTTGACCTGCTCGAATTAATTTCCCAGTCAGAGTCTTCATCAGATTCACTGTGACGCCGTTTTATTGTGTGTTTTTGACAGGATTGTGAAGTTTCCGATGCCATAAGGAGAGTATTAGTATAGGGGAGAGCAACTTGTAATTTGTAGACAATTTTGTGTCTATTAAGACACACCTCCTAGTGTAATGAGCACAACCGTTTACGTCAGCTATACCTTAAATTGCTTCAATCAATTCCATAAAATAAAATATCACATAAATTCTTTAATCTAAAGAACTATCATTAATGTTTCGACAGAACTACTAGGTCAGTGTGGGTGTTCAGCGCTAAACCTATTATCAATCCATGCCACGGTCTAGAATGTTGGGAAAATCTTTGAAATATTAAACAACAAAGTTAAACTATCAGGTCAGTGTGGTTGTTCAGCGCTAAACATGTTGATAGAAATAAGTGTACAGATCTACTTTTAGCTTTAATATCCAGTATCTGTAACTTGAATGTAACATATATATATATGGCTATACATAATTAAATCGCTTAGATAATATAAGCTTAAATGCATGGTTTTATAACTTATATCACCTGGTAGTGCTTATAGATAGATGTAATAGCATCGGCAGGCAGAATGTTATTTCTTACCTTTTATTACATGCTTTATTGAATGTAAAGATTTTTATTCTAATCATGGAAGTAATATTTAAATATTACTTCCATGTTCTAATTAAGTCATGCCCTGTAAATAGTATTTAAACTTTATCAAAAACTTTTTAAATAAGACCCAGATTTTAATGTACTTAGAAATTATTTTACAGGGATTTAAATGTATATAATGTTTTTTACTAGCATATTCATTTTAGGTTTAACCATCTCCTACATAGTAAGGTTGGTGTACTCCAACTATTGGAGGAAGATATAGAGGAAAGAAAAAGTCTCATAAAATTTTCCATAAGCTGCTTCTGCATGAATAAAAAATAAGTATTATTAATACCTTGATGGCTTATATATCAAATCTTTTAATCGAAAAGAGATAATAATTTTTATCCGGTTTTTTTTTTGTGGTTTTTTTTGTTTGTTTTGTTTTGTTTTTTTTTAATTATTTTTTTGGTTTTTTTTTTGGGGGGGGGGGGGGGGGGGGGGGGAGGGTGTTGTTGTAAAGTGTTCCTTAACTTTAAGGTTTGAAATGTAATTACCTTCTGCCAAGATCAAAGAAATACGATAAAGCTGTTGTGAAATCGTGCAATAATTGGTGACAAAAAAGCGCGGACAGCTTTCATGCAGACAGGTTACAAGTCTTCCGTTGATTTTTTTCCCTTACAACTTACTTTTAATCCGATCGATAGGTAGATAGGAAGAACATAAATAAAGGGCATCAAATTCGAGATAACCCAGTATATAGATAAAGTAACTTAATTACAACTCAGGGGACAAACAAAAATTTTGTCTGTCAAAAAAATATTAAAGGACGAGTGCAACTTTCTATTCTTGCAATGCAGAACAATTGATACTTTTCAGGAACTTTTTGACAGGATGCCGAGAATATGGAAAGCCATGTCTCTCAGTCGTACAATTTCAGAAAATTCAAAAATTGGAAAAGTCGATACCATGTAACAACATTGTTGGCAGCATTTAAATAATTTCATAATTATATCAGACTTGGGTTTCTGGGTTGTATGGTCTGTTGTTTGTCTGTTATGGTTGGACTTAACCAACAGCACACCTTACGGACTTAGGGGGATGAGTAAGGGCCTGAAAACAGTTATAACAAACACAGTGAAGTAGGTTTTAGAACTTGTATCTTCAAAAGCGCATGAGAAAGTCATATATAATTTATAACAATATTATAGTATATAATGCAAATAATAGAAACATCTAATTCATATGATTTTACAATATAATTGATCAATTAATATCTTTGGTATACAAACTTTACGTTAATGCATGAGCATATGCATTTTAACTGACGAACACGGATGCTTATAATATTTCTTATAAATAAAAGCTTATTTAGCATTCAAATATATAAGCAAGATGCGGACTAAATCTTAAATGTATGAGCATAATGCAAGACCTAATATTTGAACCTAACGGAGCATAAAGCATGTGCTGAACAGCATAAAGTATTGAATGCATAATATCTTAAACAATGGACATGAATAAACATGTTGAATTCTTTTATCTTTCGAATTATAATCATGGTAGATCATATATTGCGCTAGTAAAAACTTAAACTATATAAAAACCTATTAACCCAAAAATAATCAATTCCGACGATGAGCATTGGTTGAGAAATATTCGAAATCGAGACAAACTTAGCATTACGAAACTAATCGTGAATATTCAAATAATATAAATATTTAACAATATAATATGAAATGGGGAAACTAGCTTTAAAAATATATATGCTTGCTTTGTATTAAAAATTCATGACTCGTAATAATATAGGGCTAAACAACAAGAATAGTTTACGATAAATAATTTCTTATTAAATTAGCCTACACATGTGGAAATTACGCATAAAGCGTTAATTAAAATAATTGACATCTTACCCTTGCAGAACTGACCTTAATTCTTATTAAGTATAAACAAGCGATAAGTTAAAATTATCATTTCCAACATGCGAGCGTAAAACTAAATTCTATAATGCGTTTAAAAATACCCTTGAGTAAAGAAAGTTTGTGAAGAATAAACCAACCTTTTTTTGAACATATATACATCTATTTACACTGATCGAGAAACAACAATTTGGTCTTAACTTCTTTACTTGCAGAACTCATAGATATTTAACTTCAACTTTACTAAATGAAATGGAAACGAATCTTTACGAAGTTTCATGATTCAATTGAATAAAATAATGAAAGAAACATATTAACTTTGAATAATTTAAATACTTGACTCACCTGACTCAGTTATAACAAACACAGTGAAGTAGGTTTTAGAACTTGTATCTTCAAAAGCGCATGAGAAAGTGCCACTTTTTAGACCGAAATTCACTTGTTCGATTTTGCGTTACTGTTTCAGGTTCGACCAATCAGATTCGTTAAACACCCGAGCCACTTAGTTACCCTGATAATTTGGGGTAAAAAGGGGCGTGGAAAGATCTTTGCTGGACAGGACATAGAACCCTAATTGACTAGGTTACCTAGACATATGTTGTTTACACAACAACTTGTTTGTGTTTAAAGGACAAAAGACTTAGTAAAAAGACATGTCTAATTGTGTCCACTTAGCTTGTCGCTAAACATCTTAAATTGATAAAAATAATGCCTAACAAAGAGAAAATCTGAAGTGACAAATGCTAAAGTAAATATCTGTCAAATTTGAACTTTTTATCTTAAATATATCGAGAATATAAAAAATGATTTCCTTCAACAATAATGAACGAATATAAAACAAAAATACTTTTAATCAATACTGCAGCTTCGAAATGGACTTTAAATAAATAAAATATCTTAAACTTATTCCTTTTTGCTGAAAACTAAATTTTCTCAAAAATATAAAATGAGGTCTAAAATGACTCTATGACAACTATTTACGATTCTACAAACACTATTAAAAATTTAAAGCGTGCACTGTATGGTATATGTCTTTTAATTAATGAACAGGAAATTAAATTTTAAAATTCATTGAATAGTGTCTTCGACTGTTCAATCATATATTAAGAACAGATAATTTACAGTGGCGGATCCAGAACTTTTCATAAGCAGTCAGGGGCATTACTTAAACAGGTAACTTTTAAAATTACCTATACAAGTAATGTTGAAAACGAGGCTATTTAAAAAATTACTTATATAAGTAATTTTTCTAAATATTATTTTTATATGTGTCCAATTATACAGATTTTGCTAGTTTTAACAAATTTTAACAGTCATCTGGTTATTTTTCCCATGAAATATAAAATCTAATCCTTCTGAAACACTAATTGCCTTTCTGACGCTCTTATCTTTCATATCGACGCTTCTGGGTCAAAAATTGGTCTCTTGGGACTATTAAAATATCTTTTTCCTTGAAAATCTTTAAGGTAGACAGATATAAATAGATAGAAACTTGTAAATTAATCAAGACTTGAAGTTATTAATAATTTGTAACCCAAAACAATTACATATGTTCCTTAAATAAGTATTATTACTAATTCTTTCAAAGATGTATAAAATAACTTATTCAAGTAACATTTTTGTCATTTTTTTTTAAAGTAACCCTTTATATCTATACTCCTCTCAAATCAAATAAATTCTTAATTTTATGATATTAAATGATGTAAAAATTCATGAAAACTTCATTTAGTCCATGCTTCTATTGAAATTTAAAATAACCCCATTGAGTAATTTTATATTTTTTAAAAACAAAAATTACTTATATAAATAACTAAAAATAGTTACTTGTTTAAGTAACGCCCCTGACTGACAAAGGGGGGGTTGGGGGTTGGGGGTTGGGGGTTGGGGGGGGGGGGGCTGACTGACCTAAGGGGTGGGGCGCTCCAGTCATGCTTCAGTGATTCCCTATATAATCAACCAAATTTTTCCCACGAAAGGGGGGGCCCGGGCCCCCCAGGGCCCCCTGGATCCGCCTATGATTTAGCGGTTATATATGAATAAAAACATTTTAAGTACGTTTGAATCTTATGCAACTTTTGAGTTTATAGACATATCTGAAAACTGGCTGCTAGCGAAGTGGCTGCTAGCTTGAGCTTGGTTATAAATTAGTGACACACGTCAGTTTTGATTAATCATAGTGACAAAAGACTCTTTTTATCAAGGATAATTCATTTTTCTATTAAAACTGTTTAAACTTAACTGTCTTATGTGTATTTGTGTCACCAGACCTAATAATAAGAAGATGTGGTATTAGTGCCAATGAGACAACTATCCATCCAAGTCACAATGTAAAAAGTAAACAATTATAGGTCAAAGTACGGCCTTCAATACGGAGCCTTGGCTCACACCGAACAGCAAGTTATAAAGGGCCCCAAAAAGACAAGTGTAAAACAATTCAAACAGGAAAACCAACGGTCTAATCGATTTAAAAACGAGAAACAAGAAACACTTATGAACCACACCAACAAACGACAACCACTGAACAACAGGCTCCTGACTTTTTGGTTGTATAATTTAGTTAT